TATGTGCGCGTGCTTCATCTCTTAAATATAAATTGTAATGTTATATTGTTCTTCTTTATATAAATCTATATATACTTATAGCAAATCTGTGCTTTAGAAGATTTTTTCCAGAGTGCTGGATAAATAACGCTTTAATAATAATAATAAAATGATCGAATTATATTGAACGATCGAAAACGCCAGTGAAAAAGTCGCTCGTCCGAGATGACGTTTCGGACCAAGAGCTGTTTATTATTGTTTTTGTCTTTTTCTTTTTTACAGATTTACCTTCCCCGAGTCTCGCCGACGATCGACGTTATCAGCGAGCGTTCCGCGAAAGCGCGATTCACGTTCCTATGTACTTATTTTTCCTTAACGCGGAATTAGGGGAAGGTGATTCAATTACAGGAAGACGCGTGATTGGGGCTTTCCGGCGACGTTAGTCGGGGTGAAGAGACCAACGGAGAGGAGGGAACGAGACGAAGCTCTGCTCTTTTCCCGGCACATTGGCTGCGCGTCTCGTTGATCGTTATTGATGATACATTTATAATCGGACTAACTATAAGATTCACTATAATATTCATACAATTTGACTGATTTCGAGTTATACAGCTCCTGTGTAACCGTGTGCGGCGATTTCCGCGGCAAGTCACGACTCGCGACACAGGACGGCACGCGACGAACACTAAGAAACTAACAACAGGTATCTCTACACGCCATGATGAGTGCTATATAATTTAACAATCTTAACATCGAATAATTCAATTTCAAGCTCGCTCGAGCTTGTTTTCTCTGATTTCACAATATTTGCATAATCTTACGGCAATCCTGGAACGAGTCATAAACTTATAACATAGACTGAGCGCTCCACAAGGGGCTACGAAGGCTTGATTAGAAAAGAGTGTCCTGTTAGCGCAGGTATTCGATCTTTGTTTAGCTTACTGGACACTTCGTCTTGCTTTCTTCAATAGAAATCAAGCTAGGCAAAGATTGAATGCTTGTGGACAGGTGAGTCGTAGGTGTTCTTCAAATCTTACTATCAGACCTCTTATAGGAAGGTGCAGTCTACGTATATAAGACTATGGAACCCGGTTACGGTGCAGATGAGTCAAGGCGGCAGATCCGTGGGTTCGTCGTCGCGATCGCGACGAACGCCTCTCGGATCGCTCTAATACATAATATCTTTTCTGTATTTACTGTCTGTACGTTATTACTTTATCATTAGACGGGCTTTATAGTCGATTATCACCGATCTAGAGCAGCCTATAAATGTATATTTTTAAGTATATGGATGCGATATATATTAACAAATACCTGTCACCACACTATCATTGTCGTTATCACCGTCCTCCGTATTCTTCCAACTCCCCCTACGTCTTCCTCCCGCCCCCCCTGATGAAGATCGATCACTTATAATTGTATTATTATTGTTGTTTGCGGTTATCACACGAGAGTGGAGGCGGAGTGCGAGAAGGTGAGAAACGGGGCGCCGTATGCTCCCCTCTCGTCGCGATAATCGATATTTATTTATTATCGTAGCCAGCGGTCGTTGGCGCGCGCTTTATCGGCTCATGTTCCAGCCACGCAGTGTCGATTAACTTCGATCGCAGCCGGGAAAATCGGGTCGTCCCTCTCTTCTTTCTTGCCCGCCTACGCTTTCCTCTCTCTCTCTCTCTCTCTCTCTCTCTCTCTCTCTCTTTCTTTTCCTGGCTGCGACCAATTGTCGATAACACGCTAGTACGAAAAGGAGCTTCATGTTGCGCTCGCTCGTGTGACAAACACCGTTTGACGTAATGCAGAGGTAGATAGTAGCTCGGTGTAACGTTCCTCTCTCTCGCCCCCCGCCCCTCTGTCTCTCTCTCTCTCTCTCTCTCTCTCTCTCTCTCTCTCTCTCTCTCTC